TTGTTCCCCCATGGGCTCTTTCCCATGTCGCCTCTTGGAACCAGCTTGTCTTCTAACTTCACGCCCATGAGTCTCATATTTGGAATGTGCTAACCCTTTTCTCATATTAGGAAGGGGTATTTATACAAGTTTACACCAAAGGAAGTAGAGAGAAATCTCAGATTGCCATCAGACTTGGTAAGGGTTTCGTGATTTTAGTGATTGCATGTTGGGATCGCGTAGATATTGATTCGTTCTTATCCCTACCGAGATGTTCAAGATAAGGCTCATCCCTAACTCTATCGAACAACTGTATTAGACAGTCGCGACGAGGTTATGCTGAGTCAGACTTCAAGATTCCATGACCTTGGGATCACATCAATCTACTGATTTTTGGGCTACCGAGACTTTCGAGCTTATGACAAAAATCACACACAACAGATATTAAAGTAGAGGTCATGATTTGAATCTCTCATGTATTACATCTTACTATATTTGGGTTGGTCTTTCTATCTTAATTTGGGCTTGGTTTATGTAACACGTGAAGATGCCTCTTACAGAGCTTAATACCTTTTTCAGCTTAAGCTTTTAGGTCAAGTTGTTTATCAACAAAATTGTTGTTGAAATTTCGTTATAATTTCAATTTCTTGTGGTCTTTCTTGCTTTTAATATAAGTAATCAATTTATGCATGCTTAAAGTTAAATGTTTTGCACTTAAATAATATTTTTATAAAGTAGATTAAATTAATAGTAATCATTTTGATTAAGCATTATTGAAGTTATAAAAGTAGTTGTGTTCTTGATTGACATAAGAAAATTTTAATCAATAGCAAACACTGATTATAAATGTTTAACATTAAAATTCATGGATTCCCTTGAAATTAACTTGGCTTCTATGAGCATCGTGATTAAACATTATTAAAATTGTCTCATAAAATTTATGGTTCATAGGATTAAGATGGAAAATTTAATCAATAAACAACAAACGAATGTTAAATAAATACATAATGATCCATCCACTACCATTGAATAAGAGAAATTAATTGAAAGAATTAGCATGTCAAAACATTGAGAGAAAAGTTCAAGATTATATCTCATATTTCATTAATTCTCTCGCAGAATATGGTGCGTTGAAAAATTAGAATATAAAAGTCTTATAGCTATAAAATTTTTCTCTCTTCTAATTGATTCCATCTATTATTGGAAGTATAATCTCTAATGAACTTCAAATCTGACTTCGCTGCCTCGTGACGCACCTTTAATAATAGTCTCTAATAAACTGTAACGCCCAACATGGAGGTACATGATTTAAATTATGTTTTATAGCCCTTGGTTGATTTTTGTTAGAATTGTTTTAAGAGAATATGAAGAAATTGCCTTAAACTTGCATTAAGGGTAAAATGATCTTTTCACTCAAAATTAGTTGAAATTGTGGGGAGTGAAAAGAGATAGAATTTCATAGAGATTGCAATAAAAATGATGGCATTATGGTAATTGACTAAGGGACAAAGATGGAATTTCCAAGAAAGTGTAAGGGCAAAATGGGAAAGCATGTTTATAAAATAAGATGATAAGGGTTTGTAACCCTTATTTCTCTCCTTCCACCGCCACTTCCCTTCTCCTTTTCCTCTCAATTTTTCACTCAATTTTCCAAGGATTTTGAGGGCTTTTGAGTGGATTTTAATAGGGTTTTGATTCTAGGCAACAAGAGGTAAGAATTCTTGCTCTATATCTATGATTTATTTGTGTAGAAGTTGAGTTCTTATGAAGTTTATGCTTAGGGTTAAGAAAAGGTTTGAATCCAATAAGAGTAGAGACCTTAGTAGAGACTACTCAAGTATAAGGTAAGTAAATTCCACTCAAAATCCAACTTAAGTTAAAGTTTAAGAAATCAAGTGAGTAGAGATTTCTTTAAACATGTATATGTTATGGTTGTTGAGAAATTGAGATGAGATTGATGATTAGTTATGCTTGTTGTTGGATATAATTGAGTATGAGAAGTGTTTTTGATTGTATGATGATGGATGGAGATTCGGTTGAAGTTAGAAGAATTTGAGAAAATTTTTGGGAGTGTGTTTGCCATGTAGGGATTGTGATGATGCAAAAGAGTTTTACTCTCATTTTGGATAGTTTAAGAAACAAATAGAATTATAATTAAAGTAGGGTTTGTATATGCACATTTATTGTTTGATGAAATGCCTAAGAGAAGCATGAGTATGAGTAGAAACCTTAATTTTATGCGACAATGCATATTTGCATTTCATGAGTGCATTTAAGTAAGAATTTTAAGCATGAGCCATCCATATGCATATGTTTGTATATGTGTAGTAATTTAAGAAAGAATAAAGATTTTTTAGATTAAAACACTCTAAGAATAAAGATAAAGAAAGAAAAAGCATTAAAGAATTAAAGAAAGAAGAAAGTGTTAAAGAAAAGAAAAGAATAGGTTGGTGTGATGGGGAACCGTGAGTGTTAAGGAGAAATTCCCACATACACGCCACCTTAATTGAGTGGCATAAGAAGAAGAAGAATTGTACGACCCATAAGAGTGTATGTGGATGAGGGTTGTACCAAGAAGAATTTCTTACATGTACGCCACCTTAATTGAGTGGCCTAAGAAGAAAGAAAGAATTTTGTACGGTCCGCAAGAGTGCATGTAGATGAGGGTTGTACTCACTCACACGGCCAAGGTTCCAAATCCATGCATCAACCGAGTCCGATCGGCAAAGAATGAGAAAAGAAAGAATAAGAAAGAATGAGAAAGCTTGAGCAAGCAAGCAAAGAAAAGAAAAAAAAGAAGAACTTGAGCAAGCAAGAAAAGAAAAAGAATAGAAAGAAAAGAAAAGAATGGAAAGAAAAAGAAAAGAAAAGAAATAGAATGAGAAATAGAAAGAAGACAGAAAATGCATTTTTATGCATTATTGCATATGCATTTCAGTCATGCATATTATCATGAATTTCATCATGGTTAGAAAGAATAGAAAGAATGGAAAGAATAGGAAGAAAGAACAGAGAGAAAGAATGAACAGAAAGAAAGAATGAACAGAGAGAATTAGAAAGAAAGAAAAGAACAGTGAGAATTAGCAACAAAGAAAGAAAAGGGAAAGAACTAAGAATGAAAGAAAGAAGAAGAGAATTAAGTAAGGAAAGAACCAAAAAGGAGAACTGTTAAGGGATTTACTTACTGAGCATTTTTATGCTCACCCCGTTGTTTTTCCATGTTTTTGCAGGAAATAAGTCAGATGCGGTCAACAAGGAGTCGTCAAGCGGAGAGAATTGGCATTATTGTCCATCGTTGCTAAGTTTTTGTACTTGTTATTTTGGTATATGTAAAGAATTATATTTTGTAAGTAAAGAAAAATTTGGGCCCAACTATTTTTCATGTGTTAGTAGAAAGAAGTCATTACATAAACAACATAAAAACTGATCTTATAAATGAATAAGTTTTAACTAGAAAGGGATATGGACCTAATGTTGTTTGCTGCAATACTTTAATCAGATGGTATTGCAAGAATAAAGAAGTCAATGAAGTTCTTAGTCTTTATCAAGAGAAGATTTTAGAAGGAATTAGGCCTAATGTGATTATAAATAACAATTTGTTAAGTTGCCTTTTTCTTAAAGCCAATGTAAAAGTGCACAGAAATTGGTTGCTGAGATGCAACTTAATGGTTTTACCTTATTCTTGGACACATAGCATTTTCATTGATGGACTTTGCAAGAATGGATGTGTTTTGGAAGAAGTGGAAATGTTTCATACTTTAGTAAATATTAAGTTTGCAGTTGACCTTGAAAGTTTGAATTCCCTCTTTGATGGATTATGTAAAACAGGGATATCCGAAACTACTTGGTAGCTATTTTAGAAATTTCTCTCATTGAAAGCCTAGTGCCAAACATTGTTGTCAGAAATTTTGTAACTGTTTTTAGAGTTTAGTTTTGATGGATACTATTGTTTCCAAATTTTACAAGCAATTGAGGTCATAATAGAGATTACAATGTTATAAGAAGAACATTCATAACATATAAATTGTAATTATTAATAAACTATTAGTCTACTAGAACATATATCTATAAAATTAATAAAAAAAATTATGTATCTTATAATTTATTTAAATACAAAGTTCAATAGCATGATTTATTTAAATCTTATAATTTTATTAAGAAAAAAAGGTAAAAAAATTCCAATTGAATACTTATATAAATTGGATTGTTTGGGTTGCATTTTTAGATTTAGTAGAAAACCATCTCAAACCGAAAAACACCTGAACGTGGATTTACATTTTTAACCTTTAATTTTCGAAATCATAAAGGTGGTTTGAATAGGAAGGATCGATGCTTGACATAAGTTTGCAATTTTGAAAACCTTAAGGTTGTTTGTGAAATTTGTCAAAACATTTCTCTTTAATGCATTTGCCTTTTGCAATGACCTTACTTCGGAAAAAACGACCCACAAAAACACTCTTCATACATGGCTTTGAGATTCAGATCCCCATTTCGTTCGTCTTTAATCTCTCAAAACCCATCTTCGAAAGTTAATGTTTTATTTTTGTTAGCTCACTTACACAACCTCACATCTGCAAGCTCCAAAAATGAAGTTTCGTATTCCTTCAAAAAACCCGTTGAACAATCCTCACTTGCTAAATTCCTCGAAGAAAATTGTTGATCAGGTAGCTTTACTCTGAATGAAGCATTGTACTTTTTTTATTACATGATTAATTCGAAACCCCTTTTCTCCAATTTCATCATTCACTACTTTGTTTAGTGCACTAGCTAAGAAGAAGCATTATTATGAAGTGATTTCGCTATATAAGCTATTGAATTCAGCTGGGTTGTCTCCAGATTTAATATTTTTGAATATTTTGATGAAATGCTTCTGTAATATCAAAAGGGTTTTGGATAGTTTTGCGGTTTTTGGGGCGATTTTGAAGAAGGGTTTTAGCCCAAATGTTGTGACTTTTAATTGTTTGATTAAAGGTCTATGTGTAGAGAGAAAGATTATGGAATCAATGAAATTGTTTAAGAAAATGATTGCTGTTGGTTGTAGGGCTGATGTGATCACTTGCAACTCTTTGATTGGTGGATTGTGTAAAACAAGGAAGATAAGTTTTTCCATTAAGTTGCTTGAAGAGATGGTTAATGGGAATAAAGAATCTGGTGTTATTTCTATGCCAGATGTTGTTACTTATAATACTATAATTGATGGTCTTTGCAAGGTTGGATTAGTTGAGAAAGCTAGACAATTATTTTTGGAACATATGATTCAGAGAGGTGTGGTTCCTCACATTTATACCTACAACATTTTAATGAACGATTATTGCTTGGCAGATAGAATTGGTGATGCACAGAAGTTGTTTGATTCTATAACTAGAAAGGGGTATAGGCCTAATGTTGTTTGTTACACTACTTTAATCAATTGGTATTGCAAGAATAAAGAAGTCAATGAAGCTCTTAGTCTTTATCAAGAGATGATTTCAGAAGGAATTAGGGCTGATGTGATTACACATAGCACCTTGTTAACTGGCTTTTTTCTTATAGCTGAGGTGAAAGATGCACGAAATTTAGTTGGTGAGATGCGACTTAACGATGTTTTCCCTGATTCTTGGACATATGACATTTTCATTAATGGACTTTGCAAGAACGGATGTGTTTTGGAAGCATTGGAAATGTTTAATGCTCTAATAAATAATAAGTTTGCAGTTAGCATTGTAGGTTTGAGTTCCCTCATTGATGGATTATGTAAAACAAAGAGGTTGAGAACTGCTTGGGACCTATTTCAGAAATTTTCTCTTCATGGAAACCTGGTGCCAGACATTGTAACATATAACATTTTGATCAATGGGCTGTGTAAAAATGGACAACTAGAAATGGCAAATGAGTTGTTGTCATATATGGAGGAAAAAGGTTGTGCTCCAGATGTAGTCACATTTAATACACTTATGTTTGGTTTCCTCAAGAATAATGAGATACCAAAAGTTGTTGAACTCCTTCATACGATGGTGGAGAGAAAAGTGAAGCCGACTGAATGTACAATGTCCTTAGTCATGCAGTTACTAATGAAGGTCGAAAATTATAGTGAATGTTTGAATGAGCTTCCTCAATTTCCGGTCCAAAAGTGAAATTGAAGTTTACGTGATAAAACTTTAGCGAGTATTAAACTTTTTTTCGGAGCAGAATCCTACAAAAGTTCATCCAGCTGCCCGAATGCTTTATTTTGGTTATGGTAAGAAGAAGGTTCAGCAAACACTTTCATCTGTTCAAATTTGATAGGGATGGTGATGGGGAAGATTGAGAATGATGGCTTCTGTGATCAAACATACCATACGTGATCTATCTCTGTTGTAAGTGCATATAGTGGAAGTGGAAGCATTGCAGGCCTGTGTTAGGATTTGCACATGAAGTAGGTCTTAAGGGTTTGAGGATTATTTTTGGTGCAAATTTCAGTAAGCAAAAGTTGTATATGATGTATACTACATGAGGGTTATCACCCACAGACTTATTATATGCATATTTCCATTTGAATTTATGATATGCACTATTTTGTTTTTAGAAAAAAGGATTTGGTAATAATGAGTTTTCGTTCAAAGAAAAATATGAAATACTATAATAAAATGAATAATTATAAGATAAAAGAAAAATCTATTTACCTTTTGTCTTGTTTCTATTTTTGTTATTATATATTTGTCAAGAAAAACGAGTCCTAATTAATAAATATATATTTAATTTTTTAAATAATTAAACAATTTGTGGTTTATTATCCTATCATCTCTAAGGTCTGGAAACTAACAATTCTACCCCTAATGGAGTTTTGTTCCAATTAATGATCGTGTAAAGGACAAGAAAAACATTTTGAATAAATGGTTAACCTTTTTTACATCTGAGAAATAAAATAATACCAAAATAATTTGTCTTCCTTTCAAAATGGATACCATGTAAGATAATTTTAAGATTTTATTTTAGTTTAGTTTATTTTCTTATTTTATTTTAGTTGTTTTCTCTATTTTTTCCTTATATCAAAGGAATATAATTACTATCAGGAAATCGTCCCTATTAGAATTAGAATTCAGCATATAAATATATATATATATAATATATAATAGGGGGGGTGAAGTGTGATTTTAAAAAATTAGGGAAATTTCATGCCAAACTTTGGGTATTGTTGCAATGAACCCAACCCTTCAATACATTGAGAGAACACAAAGCAAACGAAGCAAAAGAATGGAATCAAAAGATCAAACCCTAGCGCCAAATACCTGAAAAAGAAGAGAACAGACACGGCTATGGCGGATAATAACGAAAACCCAGAAGCAACAAAGCCTAAGTCTCCAGACTCGAGAGACTCAAGTGACTCGGATTCAGACTCAAAATATGAAGCATAGCAAAAATTTGAGCTTCAAGACATCGAGTCCCAACTCGCCAATGAACCCCCCAACTATGAAGTCCATGTTCAAGTACGTTTACATCAATTTGAATATGAATTTCAATACCAAGTTCTTGGATTTTTGTTTTGGTAATATTATTGTTTTGCTTTTTATTGTTTTTGTTGGTGGTTTGTATAGATGGGTGAGATTGGAAGTTAAGACAAGCAAGAGAAGCTATGAATGAGATTTTGTTAGGAAACAATATACATGGTAGTGGAAACAAACTTTAAACCTTATAGATCGTTCCTTAGAACCAAGATCAGGGCACAAAAATTATATTTTATACATTGTAACGAATTTGCAGAAAATCAGTTTAACGTTTAAGAAACCATACCCAGTTTGGAGGCTCCTCCAATTTGCCTCTGAATGGGTTTTGCTATGACCTTAGTGTAGGATCGAACCAATGTAGCCACACGAAGACAACCTCAAGAAACTAAAGAAGGATTTGCTAGATCCTCTTTAGCCTTTAAGAACCAAGAAGAAAAATCAAATGTAATATTTGATTCAAGCAAAAGCAATCTAGCGTGGAGAGAAGAAAAGGGCTGGAGTGTTTTTGCTTTCAATGAATGAAGAATGAAAAAAATATTATTTCTCACAAAGTGTTGCATATATAGTGCACACTTTGCCCTATTCCAATATGGAATAGCTTGGGCTCTAACCCAAACACCCCTTGTATCAAACAGCCCCTTTAAGATATTTTAATTTTAATTGTTATTGTTATTTCAATTAAATTCAATTAATATATATATTTCATATATTAACATTTAACAATAACAATAATTCATTTAAATATATGCAAACACATATTTAAATATAATTTCACTTATTTAATTTAATTAACAAATTAAATAAAGGCTACGACCTCAGTAAATTTAATTGTACTGTGAAATTACCAAAATACCCTCTTGCCTAAAAAGACGAAAACGCCCTTCTTATAAACTGGTTCTTAAATTATCTTCTATGTGTGTGACACGTAGGCTCCTTATCATACCGGCAGTGTTGAGTATCATGATTAACACCAATTAATCGTCTCTCTACACACAAACCAAGATTGGCCCCTAGCAAGACATCATGGCCACCCGATAGATTCGGATTCAACGAAGCAACTACCTGTGAACGATATGGTTACTGTACAATCCAATCCTTTCATCAAACGTTATCTCGACGAGACCGAGGCATAGAAATAGTGTCAACCTCGGTTACTCTCGATATTATGTATTTAGTTACTAGACCAATGACTTGAATTATAAACTGGATAGAGCAACAACGCAATCCCAATGTGGCCACGGTTTTAGTGACATTGCCATTTACTTAATTGTGTTGTGAGATAACTTCTCCCGTACCCGAGAGTGATGAATCCTCTGTCTATCCACCATAGTCTTGATACACTCCTTGATGTAGCCAATCACCACCGTATTGACAACTTTGAATAGAACTGCATTAGGCTAGTGTCAAACTACACCAATCGGTGCACAAGGCACTCCGGTGATCTCAAGTCTAAGGATCACATGCACCTATAGCAAGCACCCATGTGTTGCACTAGGTTGTCACCAAATAACCTTGACAACTAAGATCAGTCACTGCCTTTCGATAGGGTTGTTCAACACTATGATAGCCTTACCGTATTATATATGCCCTTACTTCAGAATAATACTGGGGCTATGGATGTTTCCAAAATGGCCACCATATGTGCTCATAGGGTTCTCACTATTAAGATTTGAAATACTTGATACTCTCGTCATGGTTCTACCATTGTAAGGACATATATCAATACATACAATGATGATTTACGCGATATAGAATAAAATGCCTTTTATTGATCAATGAACATTATTACAAAGAGTCAATCCTACAATAATTTATTGGCTTTAGGGTACCTACTCTAACAGTCTCCCACTTACACTATAGCCAATCATTCATGCACTCAACATTGAATGACCCAAGGCCCATCATGCTTCTACTACGACAGAAACTTCAATAGTGGGTTAGTAGATATTCTACAAATCTGCACATTCCCTTTTTTATTGATCTCTTAGACCATATTGAATTAACTAAGTATGTGTTTGGATTACTGGTGAGACCGTGATTCCTCAACCACAACAATGGCTCCATTGTTATTGCAGTAAAACTATACTAGATCAGTAATGCTTGGAACCACATCAAGTTTAGTAATGAACTCCTTGATCCAAACCACCTACACAGCTGCATTAAATAATGCGATATGCTTAGCATCAATTGTAGAATTCATTGCAGTACTTTGATTCGAGCTTTTCCAGTTCATTGCAGCTACATTGAGATAAAATTATAATCCCAAATTGTGAACTATAATCATCTTTGTCTGTTTGGAAACAACATCACTGTATCCTATTACAGTGAGCTCATCTTCCCCTCCATAAACAAAGAACATATCCTTAGTCCTCTTCAGGTACTTAAGAATATTCTTGACAACCATCCAGTGACGCTCACCTGGATTCGATTGATATCTATTACAAGTGCTCAAAGCACATGAGACATCAATCCGAGTACATAGCATTGCATAAATGATGGATACAATTGCTGATGCATATGGAATCCTCTTCATCCTATCTCTCTCATCTTGTGTTCTAGGACACAATTCCTTAGAGAGATAAACACCATGTGACATCGAAAGAAATCCCTTCTTGGATTCTTCCATACTGAATCTTTTCAGTACTTTGTCAATATATGCACTCTGACTTAGGCCAAGCAACCTACGTGATCTATCAAGATAGATCTTTATTCCAAGGATGTAGGCTGCTTCCCCTAAGTCCTTCATGGAGAAGCACTTGGATAACCAAGTCTTTACCGACTGCAAGTTTGGTATATCATTCTCGATCAGAAGTATGTCATTGACATACAACACAAGGAATGTCACTACGCTCCCACTCACTTTCTTGTAAACACAGGGCTCATCTTCGTTCTTGATAAAACCGAATTCTTTTACAGCTTCATCAAAACGAATGTTCCAGCTCTTTGAGGCTTGCTTGAGTCCATATATGGATCTCTATAACTTGCATATCCTATTAGCTTGCCCATCAAGAACGAAACCATCAGGCTGTGTCATATACACATCCTCTTCAAGGTTTCCGTTCAGGAAAGCTATTTTGACATCCATTTGCCAAATTTCATAGTAATGATATGCAGCAATCGCAAGCATAATCTGGATGGATTTAATCATGGCAACCGGCGAAAAGGTTTCTTTATAGTCA